ACCCTCCCTGAAGGACCCAGTGATGGGTTGTTGGGACTCAGAATTCAGGGTTCAAATGTTTTTGGGGCGTCGGGTTCAGGGTCTAAACCCTAAACACTGCCTCAGGGCGTAGGTTTCGGGGTGTTGGATTCGAAGATTAGGGCTCCTGGTGCTACGCAGGTTGGCTTGAAACTCTATGGTTCTTCGTTTAGCGTTCCTATCCTAAACCCTAAACCCTAAACCCTAAACCCCGAACCCTAAACCCTAAACCCTAAACCCAAAACCCTAAACCCTAAACCCTAAACCCTTCCAGATGGGCAGCTCTGGGGCTCTAACAATACTGGTCACTTTCTTGGGTACCCTGTTTAGGTTTTAGGGTTTAGGGTTTAGGGTTTAGGGTTTAGGGTTTAGGGTTTAGGGTTTAGGGTTTAGGGTCACAGTGATCCCTCCCCCAGAAAAGACGCTAGCAGGGTTTCGGGTTCGGGGCTTAGGGCTCCTAAACTCCTAAAACCCTAGACTCTTTAAACCCCAAACCGCCCGAACCGACATGGGTCCTCCCCTCGAAGCGCACCTCCGCCACCTCAGCGTCGTCGTCCTGGAGGCAAAAAATCTCTTCAGCCCCTCAGCAGCACACCCCAAACCCAAAACCCGAAACAGCCCTAAAGCCTCAGCCCTAAACCCTAAACCCTAAACCCTAAACCCTAAACCCTGAACCCTAAACCCTAAATCCAAACCCTATCCCTAAACCCCAAGTGGGAAGCAAGGAGTTTGTTGGCTTGAAGGGGCCTTCTTGGCCTATTGTGGGTTGATTGGAGGGCTTCCCTCAGCGTTCGAGGCTTTGGGGCCCGTACTTCGTTGTGAGGTTGCCGATGTTTTGTTTCGTTCTTGAAGTACCCCTAAACCCTAAACCCTAAACCACTAAACTCTAAACCCTATACCCTAAACCCTAAACCCTAAACCCTAAACCCCAAAGTCCTCGAGATCCGCGAGGAACATGTCTTCGATCTCCTGGATGTCGCAGCCTTCCTCGTCATCCTGCGATGAACCCTTCCCGATTAAAAATCGTCCCAAGACCCCTACAGTCCTAAACCCTCAACCCTAAACCCCAAAAACCCTGAACCCTAAACCCTACCTACAACCCATTTAGACTCTTAATCCAAAACCCAGGCTTCTGCATACGCTGTCCCCGCAACTGAGGGCTTAGGAAAGCACCACCTTGGGAGTAGGGTTTAGGTTCTAGGGTTGAGGGCTTAGGGTTTAGGGACTTTCTTTTGACCACGCTTTCAGGCATGCGCGATGGCATGAACCACATCACCTTGCCCGGCATGAATCTTCCAGCAAATGGATGCCGAGGCAGCGTGGACGCCACCATCGTGTGGGCAGGGTTTAGGGTTTAGGGTTTAGGGTTTAGGGTTTAGGGTTTAGGGTTTAGGGTTTAGGGTTTAGGGTTTAGGGTTTAGGGTTTAGGGTTTAGGGTTTAGGGTTTAGGGTTGCTCTGGCCGCATGGATGGTTTGGGGGTCGGATTCACTAGTCACTAGTAGCCAACATGTAGCAGACGTTGACAGGATTGATCTCACTGATGCTTCTAAACCATGACGACCTTTTTCTGAAACCAGCGTTTCGCCTAGACGACCCGCCTGTCAACAACAAATGTCGAAAAAAAGCCTGAGATTCTTGTACGGCTACTCAGTCGCTAGCTTCGGGTAGCCTAACTTAAGGAACAGGCGATCGCCCGTTTTAGGTGGCACGTCCGCTAGGTCAGTTTTGGGCATTGTTGAACCGAGTAAGGGACATTTTAAAATCACATGACACCCTAAACCCTAAACCCGAAGGCCTGTACTTCTGCTGGCTGTTGGGGGTGGGGTCTGTGCCTGCATCTTTCGCCATGGCGATCTTGGGATGACAGGGGTTCAGAGTCTCATGGTTAAGGGTTTAGGGCTTGGATGTATACACCCTCAGAGGAACATAGCACCCTGTGTATATGCACCCCCGGAAAAAAACAAAACTGAATCTAAACCCAGAAAGCATAGCTCCCTGCAATCCCCGTCCTCCATGTCTTCCTCATCATCCGCCTCCTGAAGGGGTACCATGGCCCACGCGTTTAAAGTTTAGGCAAAAAATGTGCGCAAATACTGTAAAAAACATTTATGTGGTATTCTTGCGGTATGACCTTAAGGGAGGCGCTATAAGTACAGCTAACTCCCCCTTGTGCGAACCTGTGACTAGTACGAGGGGAAGAACCTAGGTTTAGGGCTCAGGGGCTTCATACTAAGGTTTGGGGAGTAGGGGCACCACCCTAAACGGGGCTCCACTTGAAAGCTAGCAGCCAAGGGGCCTTGCGTAAGCAAGGGCTGGGGCACCTGGGCTAGTTCCATTAGGTTCACTCGTTATAATCATGCGATCGCTCGCTGTGTTCACTCCTTACATTAGATTATAACCCACTCCCTTCATCATGGTATTATTAGCGCACAATAAAAGGCGTCTTACGTCGCATAAAAAAACTTGTTTGTTTGTTTCGTTCACACACGATAATATTATGACAGGTGCGAGTTTCTCTTAATAGAATATTGTGTGCTCTTCACACGATGATACTATAAGGTAGTGAGCACCCGTGATAAGATTATAATTTGTGTCAAGGGCTCAAGGGCAGACAGGCTTGCGTCTAAACCCTCGTGCAAGCCCCATGACGACCCCCAACGTCTCTTCATCCCGGCACATCCCAGAAACTCCCTCAACCCTAAACCTCACCCTACCATGTCCATGATACACCTGACATTCCCCGCAAGGTGCCATCTTGGAGATGCTGTTTGATCTTCGAGAGGATAGTGGACATGGTTGGGTTAGGATTTAGGGGATTGTTGCTTGCGTGTTACGACGTTTTCTTTTTGTTATTCTTTCATCATCTTCGTCTTCTTCTTCTTCTTTGGTTTAGGTTTAGGATGTGGGGGGTTTCGGGTTGTTTCGGTTTGTTGGTAGCCCAGTAACCCTGTTAGAATAAAGGCACCCTTTTTGGGGGTTGGTTACTTTGCAAGGGACCCAGAACAACACAATGGTACACTGGGGTAGGTTCGGGAGCTCCATAATTTTTTTTATAGCTTTGGAAGGACTATACAGGGGACTCAGGGTAGCAACAATTTAAAAAAAAATTCGAACCTACCCTAACTGGGCTACCAAGTTTACTAGGATGGCCCTTAAAACCCTCCGAAACAATATTCCTGAATATGATCCTCTTAAACCTAGTAAGGGAAATTATATTTCGTCCCAAAGGGCCTACCTAGTAAACTAAGCCCCTAAACTCTAAACCCAAAATCCTAAACCCGAACCCTAAACCCTAAACCCTTTACCCTAAACCCTAAACGTTGGAGTTTAGGGTAGAGGGTTCTCCTCCTCAGCCGGGGGATTGGAGTCAGCCACGCCTTCCACGACCTCGGCTCCAAAAGGCCGGGCGTAGAGTTTTGGCCCTAAACCCTAAACCCTAAACCCTAAACCCTATACCCTAAACCCTAAACCTAAACCCTAAACTACTCTTTCTATATGTATTTAAACCTTAATGACCCCAGTGGGCGGCAAATTTGCCTTCGTGAGCGTTTGCCTGGTTCGTGGGCATCTTCGCGGGCAGTTTTGCCTGATTCGTGGGCATTTGCCTGGTTCGCTGGCCCAGACCCCCATTCTGAGCTCTTGGCTGGCCACTCACCGGAGCATTTCACCACCAAACAAGGCACGGTCACCGGGAACTTTCAGCCAGGGTTTGGGGCATAGGGTTTAAGGCTTGGGTATAGGATCTGTTGTGGGCCTTAGATTTCGGGTTTTGGGTCTACTGGACTTTGAGCTTTAAGCCTACTGGGAATGTATTCAATGAACTTGATATTTTCTCAATGATATGGGTTTCGGTTCTTTTCTAACGCTTGACAAGCTGCTTAACTAGTGAATGCTCGGACTTGAGATGCTGAACCCTAAACCCAAAAACCCTAAACCCTAAACCCTAAGCCCTAAACCCTAAACCCTTGTAGGGTTTAGGGTGCCTTTCACACCCCAAGTCCTACGCTCCTATGGGGTTTTTGTGGCTTGGGTGTTGGGGCTTGTGGGCTTCGAGTTCCCGCTGTGGCCCGGCTTGGTTTGGATTAGGGTTTAGGGTTTAGGGTTTGGGGTTTAGGGTTTAGGGTTTAGGGTTTGGGGTTTAGAGTTTAGGGTTTCGGGTTTAGGCATTCAGGGTTTGGGTTTGAATGTGTAGCAGGGTTTAGGCTTAGACGACTAAACCCGAAGAAACCCTACACACTAAACAACTCACTGTCAGTGCAATTAAGTCAGAATGAGTATGTTGGGCACTGTAGTTGTTTATAACATAATATGATCTTATAAGGTATTGGTGATTGCTCCTGTATAAGGGTCTTGAGCTTGCAACGCTTGGGGACCGGGCTGGAATGGCCTGGACGACATCCTGCACAGACGTCTCATTGGGTTTGGCGGCTGGTTCGGGATCCGTCAGCACAACAAGTTGGGGGACTTTCAGCACGTCGACAGGAATTTCTGCAAACCTCCAAGCAAAAAATTGCATGCGGGGGGGTCCTCTTCGACGTCATCCGGGACCTCCATGGCCTCCGCGTCGCTCGCGCACTCCTCCTCCTCCTCCCCCTCCGCCTCCAGGCACTCGGCAACCGCGCCACCGCCCTCACCCCCGCCCTCGTCCTCATGAGCCTCCACGCCTTCCTCAGCGGCAACCACCTCCGGCTGCTCCGTGGGCTCATCCACCACCTCTGCAGCCATCTCTACATCCGGCACCACCTCCTCATCCACCTCCTCACCTTCCTCCTCCTCCCCCTCCCCCTCTCGATCTCCTCCTTCCTTCCTTAGTAGCCCAGCAACCATATTACAACAAGGGTACCCTTTTTGGGGGGTTGGATACTTTCTAAGGGAACCTCAAACCAAAACAAAAGCCCTAAACCCTAAACCCGAAACCCTAAACCCTAAACCCTAAACCCTAAACCCTAAACCCTAAAAAAAAGAGGGAAAAGGGTACCACTGGACTGCCAGGCATCTCTGCTTCCCTGTCAGCTTCCTCACATGCCTCGCCCTTCACTGGAAGGGCTTGGTCCTGTGCTTCTTCTTCACACACCTGATCAAGGCCAGCTCAGCCGCGAGCCCACTAGTTTAGGGTTTAGGGTTTAGGGTTTAGGGTTTAGGGTTTGGGGTTTAGGGTTTAGGGTTTAGGGTTTAGGGTTTAGGGTTTAGGGCTACGGAGCTACTAAGATCTACAAGCCCTCACCAATAAGCCTTGGGTTTCAGAGGAGTTTCAAGGCCAGGAGCCCGCAGTCCCCACGCACAGGCGTGCAAGGCACAGCCCAAAAACCTGAGCCCTGCGCAGGCGAGACTTACACGCCCCTAAACCCTAAACCCTAAACCCTAAACCCTAAACCCTAAACCCTAAACCCTAAACCCTAAACCCTAAACCCTAAACCATTGGAGTTCGGCTTCGGCCGCAAGGCCCGAAATCCCTGCGGCAACGCCCTTTGGGAGCCTGCAACGTGCATCATCCGAAATACGACGGTCGCGCTTCTCGTACTTTCTGAAAATGCAAGGGACACGTCATGTGCCTGTAAAGTGTAAGAAAGACTCGGCCATACTATTTGACGATTGTTTCGGAGATCAGGTTTGGGGTTTGGGGTTCGGGGTTCGGGGTTTGGGGTTTAGGGTTTGGGGTTTAGGGTTTGGGGTTTAGGGTTTAGGGGTTCAGGGTTCGAAGCTCATCCGTCCATCAGTCGCTCGCCAGTCCTAGGGTCTGAGAGTCTAACAGTCCAAAGGTCCAAGAGCTTAAAACAAAGCTCCCAAAGAGTCCTGCCAACTCCAAAGCCCCAAAGTGCCTAACATCAAAACTCCGAAATTTCGCTTCAGAATTCTAGACTCTCCAAAATTTGGATACTGGTGTGGAAGTGTTTGGCTCCAAAAGGTTAAGGCCCGGAAATCTAGAATTCCCAAAGTTAAAGCTGTCGGCTCAGCATTCCCCCCAAAACTCCACAAAATCGAAATTTTCAGCCCTATGGATTGTTTGAATTCTTGGGTCTAGGAACCATGGAAGTTTGGAACTTTCAAACCTTGGATTTTGGAATCTTGGGTGCAGAGCTTTTGGGTTTTTCGAAACTTGGATGTTTTTTTGAATACCGAGCGGCAGACTATTGGACGCCAAACTTGCTGTATCCAGTTCATCCAACAACACAAAACGTGGGGTTCATTAGGGGGCATCTGATTAACATATATATATATATATACACACACGTGCATATATATATATATATATACTATATACACATAAAATATTCATGATGTATATACAATCCATATATATATATATGGTACCCCCCCCCCCCAAAGATCCACCCTTTTTCCTCTTTTTTTTTTTCTCTGTTGAGGTGTTGCTGCTGTTGTTACTGTGTTGTTTTCGTTTTTGTTATGCTTTAGTAGCCCCGACACATGATAATAAACGACACACGACACCAGTACCTTTATTTACTTGACCGAGACCCCGCGAATTTAAAACCGCATTTAAAAATTTAAGTTAAATGCGGACCAGCACCCTGGAACCAAGAACCAAGAACCAAGATGCCCAGGACTCTTGATTCTGGAATCTTGGTTCCTGGGACTGGTCCGCATTTAACTTAAATTTTTAAATGCAGTTTTAAATGCAGCCCCAGGAACCAAGATTCAAGAATCAAGAGGCCTGGGCATCTTGGTTCTTGGTTCTTGGTTCCTGGGGGGGGGGGGGGGGTCTGCATTTAAACTTAACTTTTCAATGCAGTTTAATGCAGCCCCAGGAAACCAAGAACCAAGAACCAAGATGCCCGGACTCTTGATTCTGGAATCTTGGTTCCTGGGGGGGGGGGGGGGGGGTCCGCATTTAACTTAATTTTTAAATGCAGTTTAAAATGCAGCCCCAGGAACCAAGAACCAAGAATCAGATTGCCCAGGACTCTTGATTCTGGAATCTTGGCCTGGGGGGGGGGGGGGGGGGGGTTTGCATTTAACTTAAATTTTTAAATGCAGGTTTAATGCAGCCCCAGGAACCAAGATTCAAGCATCAAGAGTCCTGGGCATCTTGGTTCTTGGTTCTTGGTTCCTGGGGTGGGGGGGGGGCTGCATTTAACTTAAATTTTTAAATGCAGTTTTAAATGCAGCCCCAGGAACCAAGATTCAAGCATCAAGAGTCCTGGGCATCTTGGTTCTTGGTTCTTGGTTCCTGGGGGCTGGTCCGCATTTAACTTAAATTTTTAAATGCAGTTTTAAATGCAGCCCAGCCCCAGGAACCAAGATTCCAGAATCAAGAGTCCTGAGCATCTTGGTTCTTGGTTCTTGGTTCCTGGGGCGCATTTAACTTAAATTGTTAAATGCTGTTTTTAATGCAGTCACGTCTCGGTTCTGGATTACTAGCATTGGGCTGCGAAATTTTCCAAACTTACCATCTGCCACACTACATGATAAAACCTGGGAGTCACCGACTCCGTAGTCTATCTCTTGGAGTCACTGCATCTTACAAAACTCTTTCGGGTTAAGCAATTAAACCCAAACCCTTAACTGTTAAACCCTATAGGGTTAAAGTTTAAAGGTTTAGGGTTTAAGCTGTAGGCATTACACATAAGTCGGCAACTAAACCTAAACCGTTAAGCTTTGAACCCTATAGGTTTAATGTTTAAAGGTTTAGGGTTTAAGATTTATAAGCATTAAAACCTAAGCCCATAGAGTCCTAACCTTAGGGTTTAAGGTTCAGGCATTCAAACCTTTTGGGGTCTAAACCCTAAAACCCTATAGGGCCCAACAAGGCTCAAGGGTTTTAATCCCATAGGCGCTGAAGGTCTACATGCCCAGACCTTAGGTTTGTAAACCATTAAATCCTATAGGGTTTAAAGGTTTAGAGTTTTTTGCAGGATTTGTCTCTAACACCCTCACGAGCTTAACCCTATAGGGCTTAAGCTCTATAGGCTTAAGGTTTAGGCACTACCTAGGCGTAGAACCTTATAATCCTGTGATTTAGGCATTTAAACCGAAGCCCATTTAGGTTCAAGGTTTAGGCATTAAAATCCTTAGCCCTAAGCTCTTTAGGGTTTGAAGCCAAAAACCCTATAGGGCCCAAAAAGGCTCAAAGGTTTTAACCCTATAGGAGCTGAAGGTAGACATGCCCAAACCTTGGGTTTGTAAACCATTGAACCCTATAGGGTTGAAAGGTTTAGGGTCTTTTCAGGGTTTATCTCTAAAACCGTCACGGGGTTGGCCCTATAGGGTTTAGAAGTTTAGACCCTATAGGGTTTACAGGTTTCGAGTTTAAGGTATAGGCGTTGCCTATAGGAGTAGAACCTTATAACCCTGGAGGATTTGAGGCTTACATTCCTAAACCTCAAATCCCGGGTTATGCCCATGTTTGCAGGGCTTGCCTCATGTGAAAATGCAAAGATAAAGTAGAAGAAGTACCCACATCATGTATGTATATAGGGTATAAATATTGTATATCACACACAGATAATGGAGAAGGCATGGGTAATGCGAAAAAAATCATCTGCTGTAAGTCCCGGGGACGCGAGAATACTGTGAGCAATTATCTTTTCACTCTTCCCTGAGACCGCCTGAAGTTTTCTTGTAGATACTTTACGGTTGCATTTGTGTTTTTCGGGGGTGCTTCAGGTGGTTGTGTGCAGTTATATCTTAATATAGCGAGGGTTTAGGGTGGTTTTGAGTGAAAGACTAGTGAAAGGGGTACGTACGCCGAAAGGTTTTGTTTAGATCCTCTACTGATGTATCTGTGTTTTTCAAGATGTTTCAGGTGGTTGTACGTCTCGTCAGGAGAAACGAGAAAACATGCTACGGGAACTGTGTTGTACATTGAAAGTCTCTAAAACGGTGGAAAGTCTCTAAAACGGTGGATCTTTGAGGGGGGGGGGGTAGCATATATATATATATATATATATATGTGCAATGTGCATATAGATACAAGAATTTAATGATTTGTTTCGTGTACAAAAATCATCCGTTCTATTGCTTGTTGGGAGAGTTTTTTTTTTTTTTTGGGGGGGGGGGGGGGGGCCCAGGGTTTTCTCTCGCAAGTGGCAGATCTAGGCAATTAGAGGATGTTGCAGCACAGCTTTGATATATATATATATATATCAGGGCTTAGGGTTGGGAGGGTCTAGGCTCCAGAAAGGCGGCCCGAAGGCCCCAAAGGGTTTAGGGTTTAGGGTTTAGGGTTTAGGGTTTAGGGTTTAGGGTTTATTTTTCAGAAACCCCCCCATACAAACAAGAAGGAACAGCCAACGGCGCAACAACGATGCCGCACAGGAAGGCCTGTTTGCTTCCACTCAACGCACACACACACACACACACCGATCTGTAAACCTAAGCTCTGAACCCTACGCTCGAAACTCACGCACCCTCGGCGCACCCGAGGAAGGAATGTCGTTGCAGGAGGCGGCTTAGGGTTTCTAAATTTCAAGGGATCGTCAAGCAGTGACCCCCCCCCAAACTCGGCCCCCAAGCCACCCAAAACTCTCCACCCAAAACTTTCCACCGCCGGCCTCCTGGTTCTGTCCCTCGGCTTCGTTTTCGACCGCGCTGCCTTCCTTCAGGACAGTGCTCGGATTCAAGCTCAGAAGGGCCTCGGATTAAGCGTGAATGAAACCCTGCATCGCAACCCTATATGCCATATGCCCGAAATCCTCAAGACCCTAAACCCTAAACCCTAAACCCTAAACCCCTAAACCCCTCAACCCCTAAACCTCTAAACCCCTAAACCCCTAGAAGACCCCAAGCCCCCACCACCGGGCTCCTGGTTCTGCTCCTGGACGCCAGGGTCGACCGCGCTGCTTTCCTCCCAGCGCCGCACTGCGGCCCCCACGCGAGCGCGTGGGGGCCTTAGGGTTTAGGGTTTAGGGTTTAGGGTTTAGGGTTTAGGGTTTAGGGGGGGGGTTTAGGGTTTAGGGCTTTTTCTGGGAGTTCTGGGGCTGAAGCCCTAAGCCCCTAGGCCGGAAACTCCCGGCTCCCCAGCCATAAACTTAACCCCGGTGTTGGATGGATTTAGGCATTGGGGGGTTCAGGGTTCAGGGCGTAGGTAAGGTGCAGGGGTGTAGGGTTTTAGGG